ACTTGGCTACGCGCAACTGTCTGGTTGGAAACAATTATACCATCAAGATTGCCGATTTTGGCATGAGTAGGAACCTGTACAGTGGAGATTACTACAGGATCCAGGGGAGGGCCGTGCTGCCTATTCGTTGGATGGCCTGGGAAAGCATCCTTCTGGTAAGAGAAAGGGACGGTTGATACAATACACCTCTTTGGAGAAGGGGAAGGAATCTATATGGTTGATCCAAAGGTGGGAAACATCTGTATTCCAGGGCATTATGGAAAATATTTTCAGAGATTGAAAGTACAGTAATTAGTTGCAAATAACTAGACAATTATATCCAGTCTTGGCCATATAGCAAAGTACAGTATTGTCCAAAATCTACGAAACAGTGATACCTTTATTGTGCCAACCAAAATGCATTCAAAATGTTGTGGTTGTTATCATCGGTTCAGATGGTATAGAAGAGTATTCATGCAAGTGGGCCTCTCCTCCTTCCGCCCATGTAGGTAATGGAAGATTCAGTCCAGAAAATAAACTTTAAATTCCATCCAGGAACTATAGCCTCATCCTTTCTCATTGCAGGGCAAGTTCACTACAGCAAGTGACGTGTGGGCTTTTGGTGTTACATTGTGGGAGATGTTCACACTGTGCAAGGAGCAACCCTACAGTTGGCTCTCGGATGAGCAAGTCATCGAGAACACGGGGGAGTTCTTCCGAGACCAAGGCCGACAGGTATGGGAAACACATGAGCTGAGGGATTGCTCCAGAACACCTTTCACCATATTTCTCAATGACTATTGCTGGTTCTTTTTTCCATCTGCACTCCTTTTCCCATCTGCACTCCTATGGATGATACCCGGCTTGCCACTTCAGATGGTGAATCTGGGTTGAATCTCCATTGTTCACATGCATCCCGAATGCACCCAATTAAGTTTGCAGGGGAGAGGCTGCCAAAAAAACCCATTTAACCTGGGATAATCAATGCTGTTTTCCCCCCAAAAAGATTTACATTGTCAGCAGTGTGAATAACCAATGCAAATAGTCCTGGGGTTAACTTCTGCATGCCTTGAACATGTTTTGAATACATTTGCATTGTCTATTCTATGTTTCTTCGAGTGCTGGCACAACTGGACTCACAGAGATGTGGTGTTGCACTAAAAAAAAAACCAATGTGTAGGGGCTATGATTCTCTGGGATGTTGAAAAGGATAGAAAATTGGTATTTCTTTCTCCCATATATGCTTTTGTACATGGCACCTGGTTGCTACTTTCTTATCTTAATTCCTTGTTACCAGGAGCTACTCATTGGAAGATAAAATTCCAAAGCCAGAGTGAGACTCTACACTTGCTTAAAAAAAGAAGAAAATGGGGTTATATTCCTTTTGTGTTAGTGCTATTTGTGCTATCCATTTGTCATGTCCTCCTTTTTCATTCACGGTCACAGCCAGTAGTCATTCACTGGAGGCAAGGAATGATTTGCAGGTTGACTTTCTTTAATTACTAGGATATTTATATCTTATTCTTCAGATTCTCTCAGACTAGCAAACTATTTAGAAACAGTAAAATAATAAAATAATAAAATCAACTACTATGGCCCTGCTCCCTGGCCTGTCTCTGAACACTTAATAGTGTTCTTTGTTTTACATAGTATGAGATTATGATTTTTATATCAGTTTGCAATTTATAATACATCTGTAAGATTTTATTGGGCTTAAGGCAGGAGTGGGGCAAGTCAAACAGTCTAGATATTGCTAGACTGCAAGTCCCATCAGCCTGCTTCATCAGCGATGAAGAATGGTAGGAGTCGGATTCCAGTATCATCTGGAACGCCACACTTTATTCATCTTTGGGTTAAATCCATTTTTAATCTCAAGTGCAGTAGATGGCTGAAATGAATAGGAAATGTTAGTAACCACTGTCTCATTGATTTCAATGGGTCTGCTCTAGTTGAATCTAAAATTATATTTGTTCGTTTATATTAATACAGTGGGCCCTTGGTATCCACTGGAGTTTGGTTCCCGGATCCCTTGTGGATGCCAAATTTCGTGGATGCTCAAGTCCCAATAAATGCAATGCCATGGTGCACCTGATATAAAATGGGAAAATCAAGCTTTGCTTTTTGGAATTTATGTATACGTATTTTTTTAATATTTTCAAGTCATGGATAGTTGAATCCATGGATGAAGAATCTGTGGATATAGAGGGCTGACTGTATTATAGTTAAACAGGCTTGAAAGAGCTGTATCCCTTAAAGGTAATATGAAAAGGTAAAATGTAAAGGTTTAATTAAATAATAATAATAATAATAATAATTTCTATCCCACCCCTCTGCAGTGCAATCGGAGAGGCTTACAACAATTAAAATTACAATATATACATACAACCCCAAAAAACCACCCACTCCGTAAAAAATTATTAAACTTAAACAATTAAAAACATTTTAAATTAAATCACAGCATAAAAACAAATCAGTTGTAACCGACTGTAGGGTGTTGTTTTTTAAATTTGCAGATATTTAAAAAATCATCATCAATATCATTGTTGTTATCATTCTCATCTAATAATAATAATAATAATAATAATAATAATAATAATAATAATTGTGGCATTTCCATCCTCCAGAAATTGATGGCCCAATATTTGACCTTATTTTGCTTTTTTTTCTCCTTGGATTGTCTGGCAATAAGCGGGATACAAATACATTTTATTATTATTATTTTTATTAGGCTTATTTGTCTCAACCACCCCTGTGTCCGAACCTTGTGTTCTCTTTGATGATGAAGTGCTGGAGCCGAGACATCAAAGATCGCCCGGCGTTTGAAGCGATTCACCTGTTTCTAGTAGAGCAAATGGATGGGAGCATTTGACCTGTGCAAAGGAGCATAAGGGATGCTGTAGAAAGACCAGAACAACTGTGGAACAGCCTCTTGGTAGTCGCAGCTTTCAAAAGTTTCTTTTTTGGGGCTTCCTTGTCGCAGTGAGGGGGGAAAACCCAGGTAGATGTATACATGGAGCTGGAGCAACACGTTGTTGCCTCTGAGAATTCCTTTGAAATGTAGCATGAAGATACTCTTTTCACTTTGTGACAAACCACCACGGCAAACAAATATCATCAGACTTGAGGTGGCTTTTCCATCTCAATCCAATAACTCCAGTCTCTCCGATCTCTGCTTCAAGGAGGTGTCCATGGCTGCTGTTCCCTTCTTCAGCTATGGTCAAAAAGACCCACAAGAAATTGCCATCTCATGAATTCATTTTGTCTTCCTTCCTGGAAATACTGAGAGTCTGTGGTCCTTTTCCTTTTTCCTCTCCAACGTGACACCCCTTCCCCCCCTTTTTTTTAAAAAAGAAATATAATAGTCTACTCATCAGGTATATCTCGGTTCTAAGCAAGGTTTGATTCTTTCCTGGAAGCCACTCTTGGTTCAAACCTAAAGAAAATCTCAAAAGGAGCAGGGAACAAAGTCAGGAGGGACAGCCATTTGGGATCGGACCCGCAAGACATAGTGTCCCAAGGCTGTGTCCTTTGGATTTGGGGAAAGCTATTGATGCTCCTGACTAATGTCTTTGCAGAAAGGGAGCGTGTGTGAATTCTCCCACACTGGATTTTATGTGTCTTCACATACAAAACGAATGTTAATGGCTACAGGAAGACCACGAAAGACCCTCTGTTAAGTCTATGGGGGTAAAGGGGTGAGGGTCCTTTGTGGCGCTGGTTAACACTGTTGCTATTGTCATGATGATACTCATGTCTTTGTGCTTGTGAAATTGTAGCCCAAATGGACTGATGTGCAAATTATTCTGTACCCAGATCTATCCCTTTACGAAGGACGTTATCACACGGGGAGTTGCGGGGAGAAAGTAGAAATAAACCGGACGAGCGGAAGACTTTAATTTACGGGATTTGTCCCGTTCCGCCTCGTCTGATAACTAAATTCAAATTTAAAAGGGGATTAATTCAAACGAAAACATGATCTTTTCAAATCTTCAAAAATCCCGAAAATGAAAAGATCAGGTTTGCGTTCGAATTAACCCCCTTTTAAATTTGAATTTAGTTATCAGACGAGGCGGAACGGGACAAATCCCGTAAATTAAAGACTTCCGCTCGTGCCCGTTTATTTCCACTTTCTCCCTGCGACTCCCCGTGTGATAATGTCCTAAGAAGCCAAATAAGAGGTAGAACTCAGGCTTGGATCCTAACATCACTACATTTTGACACA